TGCTGCCCAGCAGGGCGTTCCCAACCCCAGACAGGCGGCGGCCCAGTGCCCCTAGCCCTGCAGCTAGCGGTCCTCGACAGGGGCCTCACGACGGCCACTTGCCTGCTCCGCTCACCACGGCAATGCAGGCCCAGCCCCAGGAGGTCCTGTGGAGCTGGGGGCTGCCATAGCCGCGCTGGCCCTCCCTGCCCAAGGACTCCCCAGATCAGGGCTCCTAGGGCCCAGCCACCTCAGACGGCTTCTGCCAGGCCCAGGCCCCAAACTGGACCTGCTGCACCCCTCCGATCCCACAGGTCTGTACCAGTCACTGAAGCCTGCGGGGTCTCCTTTCACCTGCTCCATGGCCTGGCCCTGCCCCTGTCCTCACAGCTTCTCTCAGGAGGACCGTGGGCTCCTCTCTGGCTGGTCCCCTTCAGCCTGACCCTCTGCAAAACTGGGCCCGAGTGTCTTCCTCCCGGGGACTGCTCGAGTGGTTTCAGACACTGGCGGAGATGTCCCGGCCCCCTCCCTGAACCTGGTCTAGGAGAGCAGGCCCTTCCCCAGCCCCAGGGTCCCCACGATGGGGCTTCTCTTGTTGGCCTGCCCCCTTCGTTCCCTCATGTGCCCACCCCCTGGGCTACCGCAGCCCCGTCTTTGGACCCACTGTCCCTGTCCAGGCCACCAGGGTCAAGCCCCCAGCCCCTCTCCAGTGTTCTCCCAGCCTCATGCTCGTTGGGCTCCGTGACCGGCCCCCTAGAACCCAGTCTAATGCTCAGAACAGCAAAGCATGTGCCGGGTGTCGGGAAGTGTGGATGCAGCCCCGTGTGCCTGGCAGGAGTGCAGCGGTGGGCCCTGGGCTAGGCTGGCCACTCCACCGGCAGGGCAAGCAGCCAAGGGGCTCCACTAAAGAGCAGATGCCCAGGTCAGGTCGGACACCCCCGCACCTTGGCCATGATGGTCACGAAGTCCCTGAGGGTCCTCAGCTCCGCCCCGGCCAGGGACCTGTGGGCCGCCAGCTCCACCCTCAGGAGGTAGTGCAGCCCCGACTCCAGGTCCGCTGTGTATAGCCTGGTCCTGGGGCGAGCGGGCAGAGGAAGGGCGTCACCACGTGGCCGTGGCCTTCGCTCCCCGAGCCCCTGCCCCGGGAGGTCCCGCGTGGCACCCGGGGAGCCGGCCCTGCACACGCAGCGCCCCCGCCCAGCCTCCAGAAGGGGTACTTGCTTGTCAAATTCTCTCCAAACCACGGTCTTTGGGTTGTCCTCGTTGTTTGGCTTTTCTGGAGAGGGAGCTGACTTTCTCCTCACACCCGGCAATGACTTCAAGTAAGAGGAGAAAAACGACCGGAGTGGCTTTGCACTGCGAGGAGAAGGGGCGGTGGGGGCACGGCCAGGGCTCCCGCACAGCCGGGGCCCCATGGTGCCACGGTGCGGGGCTGGGTGACACAACCGCCGCGCCATCCCCAGGTACTCCAGACACCACGGGCCCTCCTGTCCAACTCGGTCTTCAGCACTGAATGGGGCACGAGGCGTGGGGGGAGCTGTGAACGTGCTGGCCACGGCCAGCTGGAGCCGCCGTGCACCTGAGGATGGGCACAGACCGTCCCGCAGCTAACGGGCGCATGGCCACAGTAAGGCCGCAGCAGCGGGACCTTAGGTCGCCACAACGCTGGCCTGTGCGTCTGCCAAGATCAGCTTGGGGCCGCAGTGCCCAGCGCGCTGAGATCCCCCACGTCCCACAACCTGCCGGCTCGACGGGCATCTGAAGTCGGGGCTGGGCGTGTCGCCCCCACACCAGCTCCCGACTCTGCCCGTGGCCAGCGTGCGTGGCCAGAGTGCATGGCCAGGGCAAGTGCACCAGGAGCGCACGGCCACTGCCGCCGAGCGCTTCACCTGTGCAGAGCTGGCCCCCCGAGGGAGCCCTGGCTCTGGCACACCTGAGCGCGCTCAGCGACCCATGGTCACTTGCGTTCCCACGTCTCTCTGCCCAGAGAACAGGAAGGGCCTGAGTCGCACGTTCGGCCACCACTCTGCAGCTGCTGGGACAGAAGCTCCCGGACGCAGGACTGCGTCTTCTCGCTGCCTCACGGCCACGTCCCCAGCCCCCCACCAGGCAGTGCTGTGCAAACTCAGCCGGTTGGCACAAGCTGCTGCCCTGTGGGGACAAGCCGCCGGGCCAGCCAAGCCGGCAGGGAGGCCAGCACAGGGCACGTGCCTGTCCCTTTCTCAGTGTGTCGGCCTTCACATGTGGACCCAAGCTGCTGGCTTCCTGGCCAGGCCGGACTTGGGGGCATAGCACATAATGCGGGGGCACAGGGCCCATGAGGGTGTCTGGAGCCTGCGTCCCTCCCCTGACCCCCTCGACACCAGCCAACCATGGGCCCCGGGGCTGGCACAGGGTCGGGCTCAATGGACGGCTGCTGGTCTGGAGTTGCTAGGAAACTATGGAAACAGCCCGGACGGCTGGGACCCAAGGGCCACGTCTCAAGCTAGTGTGACCCACCATGTGGTCACTGAGCCTCAGTCCTGTGTCCCATGGGCCACGCAGCCTCAAGTCAAAGCAGCACTTACATGCTAACTAAGCCGTGTGACCCGTTGGGGTGAATCAGGTAGCACGAGGGGACGGAAGAGACACCGAGTCTGTCCAGGAGGGCCCTGTCCCCATCCAGCACCCGGCTCACCACGACGCCCTCATAGGGGATCAGGTCCAGGGTCACCTGAATTTGGGGAAGAACGCAGCCTTTACTGCGGACGGCAACTCTCTGAAGAGCCACAGCACGCAGGCGCTCCCCCGCACTGCTTCTCAGGACATGCCCTACGGCTCAGTTGAGTCACACACACAGCCGTGTACCGACAGGCGCCCTCACCACCCACCCTGAGCACGTGCACGTGCACACACACAGCGACAGCCACGGCCACGCAGTACCTCTCGTCCCAGGTAGGAGCTGCCACTCTCAAATAAAACGGCCACATAGTGGCCCCCAGGGCGGCCCAGGAGAGAGAGAACGTCCCTGGGCCTTTTAAGAGAAAAAAGAGGCTTTTAGTGCTTTGACAGCGGTGTGCCGGCTACCTCCTGCCAGTGCCCGCCCCAGCACCTGATACTGACCGGCAGGGTGAGTGCCCACGGCTACACACACCTTCCACGGGGCTACTCACTGAACGGGGCCCAAGGGTGGGCAGGCAGGGGGCCGGTTTCCTTCCGTGTGGTTCTGCAGAAAGTCCACCATCGTCTGCCTGACCGTCCGCAGCTCCCTGTCGGGGCCTGCTGGAAGAAGACCGTCACCACCCCTGCTGCCACACCCAGCAGCCCTCCTGCCTGCCCCAGCAAGGAGTGCTCACACAACCCCGTTCCCGCAACCCCTGCCGGGGCCCCGGGGCCCAGTGGCAGGCCGTGTAGGCCACAGTGGATTCACACACTGCAGTAAGAGTGAGAGGGACGGGTCACAGGGTCACAGGGTGACAGCGAGGAAGCTCAGAATGGGCGTCCAAGGGGGCAGCAGTGGTGGCTGCGTCACTCTGCAGCCCCGGCCCGATGGTGGTGTGGGTCAGCCTCACGTGTCTTGACCTGGGCATGCGTGCCCGGGCAGGTGTGCCCAATCCGAGTGCTGGGTGTGGGACTCAAACCGTGCACTCGGCCAGCACCTGGCCTACCATGCCACCTGTAGGCTCAACGTCGTCTGAGCTGGTGCCCGTGTGCTGGCTGGGAGGAGCGCTTGGTCTCCCGGGGCCAGGCGTGTCTGAGAAGGCCCTTACCTTTGAAGTTCTCTCCGGCCGTGAAGTCCTTCGTAAATGCTCTGAAGTACTGAGGAGCCAGAACAGATGGGGGACAGCGGCCTGGGTGTCTGAGAGGCCGGCACCTCACAGACCCGGGGCGCGAGGCCGTGTCCTCCAGGTGACATTAGCCAGCACACCACGTTCCTGTGCCTGAGAACACTGCGTCCCCTAGAGACCTGTGTGCACGCTGAGGCGCTCTGCACTTCTACTCCCAACCCCAGAGGGCTAGATACACACCCTGCTAGGGCTGGCCCAGGGCCGGCACTCCCTCCACTGCGCCCCACATGGACCCATGGCCAGCTCTGACGAGACACATTTCCGGGGAGGGATACCCCTGAGCGGCCCGGAGCAGATGAACGTTGGAAAACTTGCCCACCCCAGGCTCTGGGCGAAGATGAGCTGCCGGCCAGGTGAAGGCGCTGCGGGCTCACACAGCCAACAGCGCCGAGGACGCGCAGGGTCTCCGCAGGTCGGTGCCAGCGCACGCATGGGCTCCCTCGGCAGCCGCCAGGGAAACATGGCACGACCAGCCCCTGGAACCCAGCTGCATCTGTCGGCACGTCCCAGTTCTAGACCCAGGGACTTCCAGAGGGAGCTCGCCCGTGGAGAGGCTGCTCAGAGCCCAGCCTGAAGAGCCCAAACGCGAGAGGACCCTCCTTACACAACTGACACCGCAGGGCGGTCGGACACATAAGCCGCCACGGGGGAATCCTAGCAGCACCAAACTAGGCGAGAGAAAGCAGGCCAGAGTCCACGCATGGTGTGACAGAACCTCTGGGTGAAGACGGAGTGGAGGGGGCCACGGAGCTGCTGTCACACTGCAGGGTGTGGGGTCGGCTAGGGCAGCCTCGCGGGAGCAGCCGGCGGGGCCCAGGCCACCACCGCCACTGAGACCACCCACCTGACATGTGCAAGGAGGAAAGCTGCTCTGACCCAGCCACAGCGTGGGCTGAGGGCCACAGGCACCCCGGAGATGGTCTCGGGGGTGCCGTATGGTTAGGGCCACCGCTATCCTCACGAAGCGCTCATGTGCAGACACACACTGCACACACCTGCACACACGTGTGCCCTACGTCCTGGGCCTTTGCGGGGGTCAGTCGCCTCTGCCCCGGTGGTGACAGACTGTGGCACATGTGCCGGCCAGCACAGGGAGCCAGAGCGCACATGGCCCACCTGTGGCGGGGGCACTGGGCAGGCAGGCCTCCTCCCGCAGCAGCTACAAGTGTGTGAGCCGGCCCCGCAGCCAGTCCCACAGTGCCAATCCCTCCTGAGCAGATGCCACGAACGAGGAACTACAAAAGGGGCCATGCACCCTAAGGGGCCCTGCAGGGCGGGTGGAAGGCCGTCCCGGCTGACAGGCAGCTCTTACCCTGAAGGTGGGGTAGAAGTGGATGTCGTAGGCACGGCACACCTCCTGGTTCCTTTCCTCCGTGCAGTCCAGAGCGGCCACTCGGATGGCAGCAGCCCAGTCTGAAAAGCACAAAGGCCACTTCAGGGCGGCAGACTCGTGGCTCTCCACTCCCAGGCCTCCCACCCACACGGGCCTGCGGCTCTGGGCCAGAGTGCTTCCCCGAGTCACAGCATGCCCTTCCCGACAGTGTTCGTGCTGAGGTGGGGGGCGTGCGGTGTCACCCCAGGGCAACGTGCCAGCTACAGAGGCGGCTATCAGCGGCCAGCAGCCGGCCCCTCAATGCGGTCGGCCTTGGCAAGCCAGGGCACTCCGGGCCACTGCTGGGAGTCGGGGCAGCGCCTGGCTATGGTCGACACCTCCAAGACCCCACTGTGCACGGAGGCAAGTCAGGTGGTTTCCGAATTCGGCCCTGGACGCTGCTCCTGACCCTGGGCACCCTGTTACTCTGGAGTGAACAGGAGCGTTCTAAATGCCTTCTTGCTCCCTTTCCAGCCTCACCATGGAAAAGCCTACATGTAGGTAAAAACAGGGGCAGATGGTCCCAAAGGCCACACAGCCCTTAACTCAGTACCAATAGTCGGCAGCTCACAGGGAGTCCCACCCGCTTCCAGAATGTCCCTGACGCAAACCCGCCTGGGCTCATTTCCTCCTAAACCTACCGACATGAATCTCTGTGAAGGGTTCTTTCCCGACAGTCACAGGGGCGTCACACACAGCACGCACGCTCTCACACTCGCCGTCCCTACCGCCACGGAGGCAAGACCGCCGCCCTCTGACTGCCTCCTGTTGGAGAGAGCAGCAGTCCCGTGCTGTCGTCTAACATACGGGCTGGCCGTCTCTGTCCTGCACTGTCCGGACTGTCTCCTCTCCGTCCAGCCTCACTTCAGGGCTGGGACACACCCGTACTGAGGCTGCAGAGGGGGGAAGTGCCTGGCCTGCCCCTCAGGCACCAGCAGCAAGGTGCAGTCCTCCAGCGCCCTCCGGAGGTGAGCAGAGAGGCTCCTTCTCGAAGGTGTGTGACTCTCTCTAGGGCACTGCAAGTGGGCCCCACTGCGGCACGAGCCCCACCCGCCTTGCGCCCTCACCCAGAACCACGTGGTGCCTGGCCCAGACGCACACCTGCCTGTCGCCACGGTGCTGCCTGGGCCCTCGCCACCTTGAGCTCTGATCCATCCCCACAGACCCAAGGCAGAAATTTGGCAAAATCATGCGAAAAGAGTGAAAAAAGTGCTTCCTCTGAGTACCAGCTACGACCTAGAGCACACGCGGAGACTGGCGTGTGGCGGGGACTCAGCGCCTGCCGACCCGCCTGGTACGCGACCCTCGCTTACACTGCACGGCTCCTGTCATCCAAACAGGAAAGCACGGAGGGGGTTGCGTCCTTCCCGGCGGCCAGATGTGGCCCCACTCCTCCTGAGGCCGCTCTCCCCCAGTCTGCGGAGTGTGGGACTGCAGGACTGAGGGGCAGTTAGAGCAGGTGGCTAAGCTGAGACGGCGCAGGGCCACAGGGCCACAGGGCTGCACGTCCCCGCCCCCCGCATCCCTGCAAAGCACCAGGGCTGCCACCGCCCTCCACCGTCATCCCATCTACCGAGGACTTCCATGACACGCTTCATCCACACTGCAGAAAAAGCACTTGGGGGTACCAGCAGCTGGCATGGTGGTTAAGGCACGGGACACTCCCACATGGCTGACTGCAGTTCGAATACCGGACCTGGCAGCTTGCTTTCTCACTTCCCCCCTCTCTCTCTCTGTGTGTATCTCTCTTTGGTCAAATTAAAATAAATGAATAAAATTAAATAATTAATTATTTTTTAAAAAAAGCACTTGAGCCCAGTAGATGGCCTAGTTGTTAAGGTGCTAGATTCCCATAGTCGACCATGGTTCAAGTCCAAGACCTGGCAGCTTGAAACACACCGGGTATGTGTGTGCATGTCCCAAATCCCAGGAGGATGAGAAGGGCTTGGGTGTGGCCGTGGCTATCCCCCACCCACCCCCTGCCTCCCTCAGGGGGATGCTTTCTCCCTGTCTCGCCAGTGAGTGCATGTGCCCTACAGCAAAAAAATCTCTGTTAAAACCAGACAGAAATCCCTCTACCCAGAAAGAAAGAAAATGAAAACCTCCTCCAAAGCTGTACATAACAGAATCACAGTTTCGGCGACAATAAGCCGCCCGGGGTGTGTGCAGTCCTCCGTGCCGACCTCTCTCCAGTACAGCTCGTGCAGACACGGACGGGGACACACGCCGTCTGGGGCGCAGGCGCGCCGCTCTGCACTCCAGGAGGCCTCGCTCCCCGTTTCTGGCTCCACACAGTCCCGGGGAAACAGGCTGAGCGCTCCCCCCTGCCGTGGCGAACCTGAGTTAGGGTCAGGCAGCAGCAGCTTCTCCGGTCAAAGGTGGCTGGGACGCAGGGCGGGGGGCGACCGGACAGGAAACGCAGG